CTCCATCCAAAGCAAGAAGAAGCTAGATGTGGTGACAATCTAAGTATCATGAATGGAGCATTGGGTATTTGCCTCCAAGGCGCCCATCCAGATCTGATCGAAGAAACAAGATATGACACCAATCTCGCAAAGAAAATACACGATGTGAACGTGAAAGTGGAAACATACAAGACACGCTTGGACTCACATCCAGAGTTCCATCCCAACCATACCAGAGAATGTTCTGTTAATGTATTGAGTTCCTATAGTCACCGAAAGGACGAAAGCCAGATTGACAATTTTATCAAATCTTCAAAAAACCGTTGAGCATAAAAATCAAAATTTTAACTCAGTAAAATTTGTAAAGAATGTTCTACTTTCATAGAAATGCTTAATGATTTTGTTTTTCAAAAGCAACATCAGAATTACTGTGTTAGTATGTATTATAATTATAATTATTATAGCTACAATTAATCTGTGTGCAGAAATAACTGATTTAAATGGGGAAGTGGACCTATTTCAGGAAGTATTTATAAATTACTTCCATAATGTAGCTGATAAGTCAGATGTCAGTAGCACTAATGATGAAACTCTATCCATGTTTCAAATGAAATATAACCACTTATCCAGAAGGCAGCTGATATACCACCTTAATGAACTCAAAAGTTTGCAATGTGATATGTTGACGAGTGAAATTCAGTATGTGAGTAAGCTGCTGTTGCTGAAATATAGTAAAAGAACACATGCCTTACTCTTGGAAAAATCACATGATATCCATATTGAAGAAAATTTTTGGGCATATTGTAAAGAAATTTTTGAAGATGTATTACCGGACTTTGACGAGAAAATATATAATTTCTTTAGTTCCAGGCTAAAACCCAACCAAACCTTTGATATTCCTATTTGGATGAAAAATCTTGACCAGCCTAATTATTCTTTTGCTATAACAGCTCCCACGTATTCAGAAATTTCAAGAATTATTAGAAAAATGAAGTTGGGATCATCGGCATGTCCTTTTAACCAAATCAGTATCTTAGTGTTGAAAAATTGCCCAATACTACGAACTGCCCTTCACCGAATTATGTCAAATTGCTGGGACAGGGGATTGCTACTTAAGTCATGCAAACAAGCCTTTACAATATACTCATTCGTAAGAATGATAACGCAAAGCTTCCATCCAATAACCTTACAACCAATGTTTGCAAAGGTTTTTACATCTATAATACAAAACTGAATATATTCGTATTTTGGTACAGAACGAGTTATATAGAAACGCATATACAGAAAGGCTTTTAGAAGGGAATTTCAGGCACAATTGAGCATAACAATATACTAACTCACATTGTCAACCATGCCAGAAAAAATCAGTGACATTTGGTTATTACCTTACTTGATCTGAAAAGTGCGTTTGGGGGGTACATCACATTGCAAACTATCCTCACGTACCACCACATTCCTAGTGAAATATCAGGTTTGATCCGAAATATATACCAAGACTATACAGTATCGATAGGAACTAAAGCGTGTGTCACAAGTCCTATGAAAGTTGGTAAAGGAGTGACACAAGGGGGGACTTTCACCACTGCTTTTTAACATGTGTACCAATTCTCTCATTAAGTGTATAGAGATATCACTACTGTAACACTTTGAAACCCAGACATTGGTTCCAATTTGCGGACAATACAGCTCTTGTTACAGCAACAGAGGAAGAAAATCAAATGATGTTGAATGCTTTTTCAAAATGGTGCCACTGGTCAGGGTTACAAATTAGGACTAATAAGTGCAAAACTTTTGGTATCAAACACAATGGAAGAAGGTCGACTCAATATAAACCATACTTGAAGGTTAACAACGAGATGATTCCACCAGTCGAAATTGATGGATCGTTCGGGTATTTGGGTAAAATGTTCAATTATACAATGGCAACTGATGAAATCCGAAATGAGCTGGAGGAAGAGCTGACCAGTTTTTTGGATAAAGTAGACAAACTTCCGCTCCACCCAGAGAAAAAACTGCTGATTATCAACTAATTTGTGTACAATAAGCTACAGTAGCAGTTATCAGTATATCATTTATCTGAATCCTGGGCTACAAAAAGCCTAGATGGCAAAGTAATCCATTATGTAAAAGGATGGTTGCATTTCCACTAAGGTGCCAATCTAACCCACCTAAAGTTATCTGTTTGCAAATTTGGATTGGGATTCCAATTGCCCTCGGACATGTTAAAGTACTGTAAGCTCAGCATGTGACAAGTTCTTTTTAAATCTATCAACAAGGAAATTCAAGAACTTTTCAATTTAACATCTGGAAATTATATACACACAGATTCCTTAATTGTAAACTGTGAAGGATGCCCGAGAAAGGAATTATCAAACCAAATTGAAAACGTTGTGGAACATATTACGACGCTAAAGGAACAAGGCACGATTATGCAGATCATGAGGCGGGTATCATCGACGAAAACTATAAGTTTGTGGAACAAAATCAAGGTCTCTATGCCCAAGAATATATATATGTCTTCACAAGAAAAGCTTTAATATTTAGCCTGCCAAATAACTCAAACCTGAAATGTTGGGGTAAAGTAGAGTCTGATTCTTGTGGCGTATGTGGATCTCAATGACAAACCCAGCTACATATGTTGGCAAATCAATCATAAATGATTGAGCAATTACGCTGAATTGGATTGTACAGATCGAAAGCATGTTGATCTATAGATAGTATAAGCAGGCAGGTTCGGCTCTGGGGTGATGGGTGGTTTTTTTGTATACCAGGATTGGTAGATTATACTCTGGTTAAAATGTTGTGAATGAAGTGTGAAGCATATAGCTTGTAACCAAATGTCTTTCACTAAGAATGGGACCATTGAATTGTTGCAACAGATATATTTAAGAAGAGTTAATTCATTAAACCCACTTGTTCACATGCTGTTGCCAAGGTTCAATCTCTTTTGGCAGCACAATTAGAAAGTAATGCCTTGTTTTGTCCACATGCAGTAGTTTTGATGACAGACGTCAATGTCCATAAGGCAAATAGAGTCTTCTTGGACATATTACTTCATTAACCACAATTTATTGCATTGCATAAATAGCTGTTATCGTAATTGAATACGTCTATGCTACGGACCAGCGGTATCTGCATTATTTTAACATCGAGACGAGGCTATAGGGTCATGTTTTGTGTTTTTTAGCCTCGTTTTCGTGCGTACTTCCACTGAGATGCCGCTGGTTCGCCGCAGCGGCGTATTCAATTACGATAACAGCCATTGCATATTTCCATTGCCCTTCAGATGTTGGGTTTCATGAAGAAACAAAACATCAGGGCCTTAATTTGCACAAACCAATACTTCTCACCCAAAAATGTGGGAGCTCATTTAAACTAAAATTGATCAATCATTTACCATTGAATCCACTGCCAAATTTCAAGGTTTTTTATTACATTGATCTTGAGATATAGGTATTTTTGTAAAAGCAGTTGACAGTAACTAAAATTTGCCATTTTCCTTGCAACTTAAGGTGTGCCAATGTTGCAACAGTCTGCAACTTATTGAGTTAAATAGATTTTTTCCCACACCTTTGTCCAGTACTGCTATCCATTTAGACTAGTTAAATAAATGTTATTCTTCAACTTTGCTTTAAGTCTCTCTGAAATCAAGTTTCAACAAAAATATTTTAAAAAAAACAAGAAAAATGCAGAATTCTTAGCTATTACTGTTAATAATTCCAGCAATGCTGTGAATTCAGTGGGCTTTTCAAGAGGGGATTGTAGGCCATGCATGTCCGATGCTGTGGGACCCCTAGAAAGTACAATTTGTGCTTATCGACATGATTCTGAACACTCAAAAGGCAAAAAATACATGGCTACAACAACACCAACATTTTGCCATTTTCAAATTACTGTATAGCTTATTTGTGCAGACGAACTAATAAACAGTTTGATATTGTAAAGATTGAGTAAGTATTGTTTTAAAATGTAAAATAAATGCAAACAGGGGTGCCAAAGACAGTCTTTGAACTTCACTATAATTCACAGCTAGGAAACCTGAAACAAATATACATGTGCAATTTGAATCCAGGAGCAAACTGCATAGCAACTGGCCATTGTGATGTGGTGCCAAAGTCATGCTACTTGTAGAAATACAAAATAGAATGCAGGTGCTAATTGATGTGATTTCTCTGGCATTTTTATAATGAATCTACTGTAGTTTTAATGTACAATCAGACGTTTAATGGACTGCCTATGTATGATATGACCACAATTAAAAAGGTTATATTTTGCACATAAATTTGTTTGTAAGATTTGGATTCACCATATACTGACACATTTGTTACACTTGCAGGGAAGCATTCTACCTGACATGGAAAGACATGTCCACACAAGTGGGTATATTAAATAGCTGTCATATCCTCCTACTAGAAATACATGCATGCAGTAACCCCTCGCCAATATTGCCATACATTAAACATGAAGTACAGTGGAACCCTGCCTTACGGCCACCCCATTAATATGGTCACCTCGATAATATGGTCACTTTTTTTTGTCCCTGTGAAACACTAATACTTTTTATAATAAAGTTACCTGGTTAATACGGCCACCCCTTTAATACGACCAACAGCCATATTGTAGAGTTCCAAACTAAAGAAATCACCCCGTTAATACGGTCACTCAAAAAAATAAATGTGTTTACGTACGGAAATGCAGTATAATTTAAGACACCTTGTGCAGTGAAACACACAATTCAAGTTGCATCATATTACTAATTTTTTTATTTTTATTATCAGTCGCGCAAAGGAAAAGAAAGAATACAAGGTTCTTCAGCGACATTGTATTCCCTGCATAGTTTCTTTTAAAATTAGTGAAAACTTTATCTGAAGTTTATAATGTTTAGTTATTAATTGGTATTATGGTGGTGTATGGTGTTATTGTGATTTTCGAATAAACATAGCTTTAATGACGTCACAATTGAAATTTGATCTCACCCTGTTAATACGGCACCCTGTTAATACGGCCATATTATTTCGGTCGGTTGGTGACCGTATTAACAGGGTTCCACTGTATTCAGAAATGGCCAGCATTGAACCATGTTCCATATTGCCATGACAACACGATATTCTTAATTTTTTTTAATACAAATAAAATAAAATTGTTAGGTAATTTCAGTTCAGTCTTCAAATCAATTTGTTCACCTTTACATTTCAAGATTTTTTCTCATATTAAATGGTAATTTATGAAACTTAGAGCTTCTATAGTTCATGTTTTTTATTACGTAAAAAGTTAAAGCAACAGAATTCGTAAACATTTTTAAAAATATTCAAAGCAAACTTGCCGTA